GCACATAACAACAACAACAAAGCTACCTCTATTTGAAGTACATGTGTTAAAATAATAAACTGATTTGTGCAAGGAATATAAATAAGAAACTGATTTGTAAAAAGGATCACTAATATTTAAGTAGTAAAGCAAGACTTGAAGCTGATGTTTTAATCCACTTCTCCCTCCAGCAAGGGAATGCCTCAAAAGAATTTCTAATGAGACTGACTACATGTGGCTTGGGACATGTCATTCATCAGAGGAAAGTCATCTAAGAGAATCTTTCAGAATAAAGTAAAAGGAGGAGTTGAATTTTTATTTTTAAAAGAATATACAGATATACTAATGACTAGAATGTCTAGCACTGGGAAGAACACAGACTGTACTTTGATGGTACAATTTCCATATAAAGTCTGTCCAAGCTTCTGAACTCTTTAAATGACTAATCTCTTCTGCTTGTTTGATTTCTGCTGGCCCCATTACCAGATCATCTTTCATTTAGATTCACATGACCAGTCTTATTTTTCACAGACACTCAGAACTCAGTGGGATAGACAAGGTGGGAATCATCCCCACTGAAGTTTAGAGGAGTTAAGTTGTGAACCTATAATCATGTTAACATTAATAAGGTGAATAAGGAAGTAGAAAGAGTGTTAAGGCTGATATCAGCATAATAGAAGCAGAAGCTGCTCATGCTAGGAGCCACGGAGGAGGGCAAGGGTAGGGCAAAGTGACTAAGGATCAGGCCCTATCAGAACCAGGAACACTGACACGAACTGCTCACCATCCTGACATGTGCAACAAATGCTGACCCCCAAAGAGACATCAGGAACAATGGACCAGCACTACCCACCACATCAACCAATTCAAGCCCAGAAGCAAGTCAACTAGGACCCAGTCAGCTACATTAGGCCAAGTAGGGCCTAGAGAGGCATCTTTCTCCACCTCTGGAGAAATGACTATGAGAAGTATGTTTTCTTTTTTTTTTTTTTCCAAATTAACAAAGTTTATTTCGAGTTCGAGCCCGGGCTCCCCTGTGCTGACACAGCAGCATCCACCCGAGAGCCGAGAAGTATGTTTTCTAATAAAGCTTCTTTCATCTTTTTCCTGTCTCTTTACTGTTCCTGTTAAGCACGTACTCTAATAAAGGCATGGCCCATGCTGGGATTCTCTCAAGCAAGTCATAACCAGGCCAAAATCAGGGGATTAACCCGCAGCCAATCTTCTCTTTCCTCCCATCCAATATAATTCTTTGGGCAAAGGAATGGAACCAAGGCATTCAGTGTAATTTACGCTTAAATTGACACCCGATCAGAAAAGGCATTAGCATTCCTGGAAGAGGTCTCATCCCAGCGTATTCTTTAGTGGAGATAAAAGCTAAGTTTCAGAACGTGAAAGATAAAGTACCAATTTTGATGACACTCTTTTTAACAAGTCATTATGATGTCATTCATCTATTTGCTAGGTAATGATTTGTTATCTATTGGTAAATGTATTCATCAAAAACACCATTACAATCAAAGTGCTTCATTCCATCTACACCAGACAAAGACAAGAGCCTGAGCTCACTTTAAAAGGAATGCATGCAGGAGAAAACTGGTGTAGATATTGGGAAAGGTAGTAAAAATAACAGCTATCAGGCTTCCCAGAGCTACTGGAGAAGAGTACAACACCTACCATGAACTGTCAAAAGAACAAACAGGTCTGTCTGTCCTGGATAGGGTGAAACCAAGTTGCTCACTGGAAGCGAGATTTTGAAGGTCTATCTCACACATGTTAGGCATGTTGCCTGGAGAGATCAGTGGAAGGAGATGGATTGACACAATGACTGTGGCAATGAAGTCAGGTATAATTAGAGACGGAGAGGTTGGCTCAGGATAGGACAACGTTCAGAGCCACTGTTCATAAAGTTGCACTGGACAACATTCAGAGTCATTGTTCATAAGGTTGCACTGAGTCTTAGTTAGTTGACTCATGGCATATAACAACAACAACAAAATGTGGCAATTACTGAACAATTACTGTATGCTAAATAGCACATTTAAGAACAATCTTGCTGAAAATTCAGCCCTATCTTGCAGCTGGTAAATTTGAAAAATTGTCTTACATGAGGCCACCAAAGCTCCTTAGCATATACTATACTGATACACAAAGCAGGTTAGAGGGAACATAAACTGAGTAAAGGCAATTTTAGGCTATAAATAGAATTCCTTTTTTCCCCCCCTGTATTATTCCAAAAAGGAGATAAGGTAGATATTGTTTATAGACATAAGTACAGGTAGTCCCTAGGTTGTAAATGTCTCATTTATCAACTCTTGTTTGCCCTTTAATGTTAAATAAATTTGTCCTCACTTGGAAACAACTGAACCACCTCCTACTGGCAATAAATTTTTCACAATAACCAGAATTGGCTATACAGATAGCTTTTAAGCTTTACACAACCTTTTCTTGCCCTAACCCATAAAAATCCACTGCTCTCAGCGTGCACTCGGGTCCAGGTCGTGAGGAGGAGGATGCGGTGTGTGGAGGAGAAATGGCTGCAGAAAACAAGCCAGAAGCTCCTCCACAAGAGAAAGATGAACAATCTTCCCATGCCATTTCCTGTCACTGAAAACCTACTGGAGAGTCACCTATGAAGCACCTCCCAAAGTGTATTCTGTGGAACTAGCAACTACTGTGTTCTCAACACTGTGCCACCTATAGAAGATGATTATGGGAACAGCAATAGCAGTCATCTTTTTACCAAAAAAGCTGCTTCAATGTCTGTGGCAATGTTCAAGTTTACCAAAAGCTCTAGAGGCACTGCTAGAACACTAATGAGAGATCATGATGCAGCCATTCTTTTGGATTTCTTTTTAATAATGTGTCATCCTTCACCTTTGATCTCCTGACCTGCATTACCTTGGCTCTCTTCACTCATTCATGGGTGCAAAAAGAAGAAGGATCCACAGAACTGGAGTCACAAGGGCTGACACAGTGGAATGAAATCTGGCAGAATTTGTAGGAAAATCTTTACCATCTTGCTAGTGAATTAATTGTCCTCAAAACCTCAAATTAATTTGAACCAAGTGCTGTCAGGAATGAAATAGATTATGGTGACCCATTCTTGCTTTGTTTGGATTTGTCATGAAGGAAGTCTTCAGCCTGACTGAGCTCTGGGAGAGGGTCTTTACCCACAGGGACTGCCCTCTCACTCAGATGCCTCCTTGCCCCATAGTAAGCCTACCTTTTCTTCTAGCATTTGCCTCACATTGGCATGCTGATCATGATCTATCTCCTACAAGAATGGAAGCTCCCTGAGAGCAGGACTTCTGTGTGGTTCTCCTTCACCTGTGTGTCTTCAGGGCATAAGACTAGTGCCTCACACAGTGCCAATTCTAAATAGTTGTCAAATAAGAGGGGGGGAAAATTCCACTGCTATCAAGTCAGTTTTAACCCATAGTACCCTCTATGAGGTTTCCAAGGCTGTCACTCTTTACACAAAGAGTCTGCTCATTCTCCTGTGGAGAGGTTGGTGGGGTCAACTTATTTAGCAGCCTGGTTCATTGAGCACTATGCCACCAGACCAACACTCCTAGCACTTAAAAGTCCCAGGTCAAACTCATTGCTGAACCAACTCTTAACTGACCTTCCAATGAGTTTTTGAGGCCATAAATCATGCAAGAGGGAACTGCCTATGTTTCTCTTGAAATGCAGCTGGTGAATTTAAACTGCCAAAGAGTCTATGAGTTAGCACTACAACTCCCTACTAAACTAGGCCACCTACTAAACCAGAGCTCACCCTAAAGTAAGGCTAAATAAGAACCATAGACACCTGTTCCAACTTACCTACATTCTTAAAAGACACAGTTAGGAACTGATCTTGTTTGTAACCCAGGGACTTCCTGTATCACAAATAAAATAATATTATTTATATACGGGAAGACTTCAAACTGAAAACTTATGAAAACATAGTTCTTTCCCTAAACAATAGGACAAGCAGAGGACTGCTCCAGCTTTAAGATATCAAGTTTAAGGTATTGTTGTTGTTATTTACTTAACACTGAACTGACTCCTAGCTGACCCTCTAGTGGATTTTCAGAGGCAGTAAATCACACTGGAGGAGTCAGAAGCAGTCTCCAAAAAATACAAGGATGAAAGGATATGAAAAGATGAAACCAGAGATGTAAATTCCTGGAAAGGAATCTTCTTACTATGATAGGAGCCCTCTTGGACAACCCGTTTATCCTATCCAACCACTAATCAGTAGCAAAGTACAAAACTAACTACTGTACAGCTAACTACTGTGTAACTATATTGTGTGTATCTTTCCTATAACAGTTTTAAAGTTATCCTCTTATAATTCTATCTCAAAACAAAATTTAACGTAGCGGGGGCTTGTGGGAAAATAAACAAGGGGATATGGCAGGAAATGACCCTTTCTTATCAATATTTGTACCATTTTCACTCATAACAAAGGAATACATATATATAGTTACTGCTATGGCTCGCCTATATTTTAATGTAATGGGTCAGGATCTGGGATGAAAAGAAGATAAAAACACTGAAACAAGGTTTCAAACAGTATCCCTAGCACCATATTAATTATTAGAGGACAACCAGCTACTTAACCAGTTCTATGATCGCAAATAAAGGTGAAAAGGATAGAAAGAGGCAAGAAATATAATTTCTATCTAAAGCCACTGTGTCATATAGCTAGTTCATATGTTGTTGTTGTTATGTGACGTCAAGTCACTTGCGACTCATAGCAACCTTATGTACAACAGCCCTAAAGCCTGCTCTAATCCTATGCTAACCTTAACAGTCTCTGGCACACCAACTCCATTGTCCCAGTGATAGGGGTGTTTATAAATTTAAGCTTGTCTATAGTAAATTAAATATTTATTTATTTTGTGAGAATGGCTCTTAAAAAGTCAGGGTTTTAGTCATGTGCTAATTCAATTAGTGCTAATTCTTTTTGCTATGGAATTGTTCATAACATGATTATTCTCAAGAGTGTGACTACTGATTGTACTTCAGTAAAGTTTTCAAACTAAACAATTTATGTACAAAGTTTCATAAACTAAAGCCTCAAGTTTAGGAAATATAAACAGCAATACACACTCAAAAGAGTGTATCAACAGGCATACACATGGGTCAGAAACAATTACCTTGATAGCCGTGAGCTTGTTTTCATCCTCTTCCATCCACAAATCCTGTTCATAATAATATAAGCCATCATTGATGACTTTAGCAAGATCAGATGTAATTTTCGCCTGAGACAAGTGGTTGCCTGTTCGATCTCCTCCAGGATGTTTTCTCATATAAGGTGGTGTCTGAGTTACAATCAATATCTTGTTTAAATCCTGGTCATCAATTTCATAATCTGAATCACTATCAGACCAGTCAGTAAATGTGTTTTTCCGACCTTCTATTTGTTCCATCTCTTCATCAAATAAGAAATCAAGTACTTCTTGCTCTTGCTCTTCTGAAGGATGCAATTGATTTGATGTCTCATCAGGTACAGATATTGATTCCTGAAGGAATAATTGATATTATAAATAAAAACTTTTCTATTGCTTGTAAAATATTATCAATTCCACAAGAATGAGCTTACAGGATGTATAGGGAAAGGGAGGATTAATCATAAAGTTGTACACACCTACCCCCATTACCCCTGTCACTGAATCAATCCACCTCATCAAGGGTTTTCCTCTCCTGCACTGTCCCTCCACCCTCCCAAGTATGATGTCCCTATCCAAGGACTGGTCCCTCCATTCAATATGCCTAAAGTATGTCAAATCAAAACTATGCATTGGAGAGCTGGACAATGACTAGGGATGATAGAAGGAGAATTGATGCCTTTGAGCTATGGTGTTGGAGAAGAGTATTGAATATACCAGGGACTGCTAGGAAAACAAACAGGTTTGCCCTGGAGAGGGTGAAGCTGGGCTGCTCCTTAGAGGCAAGGATTCTGAAGCTTCATCTGACATACTTTGGACATGTTGTAAGGAGGGACCAGTCCTTGGAGAGGGATGTCATGCTTGGGAGGGTGGAGGGAGAGCGAAGGAGAGAAGACCCTCAATGAGATGGACTGATTCAGTGACTGGGGTAATGGGGGTAGGCGTGTCTGAGATGTTGAGATTGGCACAGGATAGGGCAGAGTTTAGGGCTGTTGTACATAGGGTTGTTATGAGTCACAGGCGACTAGAAAGCACATAACAACAACAACAACAAAGTATGTCAGATGAAGCTTTAGAATCCTTACCCCCAAGGAGTAACCTGGTTTCATCCTCTCTAGGATGAACTCATGTGTTCTCCTAACAATCCATGGTATATTCAATACTCTTTTCCAACGCCACAGCTCAAAGGCATCAACCTGGTATGTTGTTGTTGTTATGTGCCGTCGAGTCACCTGCAACTCATAGCAACCCTATGTACAACAGCCCTAAACTCTGCCCTATCCTGTGCCAATCTCACTATCTCTGAAACACCTACCCTCATTACCCCAGTCATGGAATCAATCCATCTCATTGAAGATCTTCCTGTTGTTGTTGTTGTTATGTGCCTTCGAGTCGCTTGCAACTCATAATGACCCTATGTACAACAGCCCTAAACTCTGTTCTGTCCTGTGCCAATTGCACTATCTCTGACACTCCCATCCCGATTATCCAGTCACTGAAACAATCCATCTCATAGAGGGCCTTCCCCTCCTGCAATGTCCCTCCACCCTCCCAAGCATGATGTCCTTTCTCCAAGGACCGGTCTCTCCTCACAACATGTCCAAAGTATGTTAGATGGAGCCTCTGAATCCTTGCTTCCAAGGAGCCACCGGGTTTAACCCTCTCTTCATAGATTTTCTAAATTTCCAACATGAGAGGGAAAATTTCTCTTTGATGTCACTTTCACATGTCTTGTTCTATTCCATCTTAAGCCCTCAATTCATATTAACTCTCTTATTCCTAAAATAATTCCTCTCTTTCAGAATTCCTTTCATGTAGGCCTACATGCAATGAATCAGTTGACAATTATCTGGCTGCTTATTCTAAGCTGGACCTTGTTCTAGGCAGGACTATGTTTTGATAAATTAAAAAACTATTCTATCTTGATGAAGCTAACATTCTAGTACATGGAAGGCTGTCTCTAATGTTTTTACTAAAAGGCTGTAAACCAATGTATACTTAAAACCAACACTATTTAACTTTTCATTCACATGTGCAGGTACATGAAAAAGTCCTATCCTGTGTCATCCTGATCATCTCTGGCTTGAGCCCATTGTTGCAGACTGTGTCAATCCCTAACACTGAAGTTCTTCCCCTCCTTCACTGACCCTCCACTTTTCCAAGCATGATGTCTTTTACCAAGGACTGGTAAAAAGTCAAAAGTATGTGAGATGAAGACTTGCCATCCTTGCCTCCAAGAAGCACTCTGGCTACATTC